CTTGGTTTGGTGTAGAAGGCTTCCAGCCGTACATGTTTGAGCCCTTGCCTCGCAACGCTGCCAGTTCTGTTAGCTCTACGCCTGCCGAAGACACAGACGTCCATCCCCGTGAATACTGGGACGGAACTACATGGGAAAGGAAATTATTCTTTTTTTTCTTATTTCAACCGTTGCCCATTTAGCTGCGACATATGAATCAAGATGCTATGACCAAAAAAATTTGGTTGACAGATGACCGTTGATATATGATTGGCCGAATTTAGGTTTTCGAGCTGACGTATAGCTAACTGGCCTGCAGAAGATAACGGGGAAAAAACACAGATTTTAAGACAGGATTTTTTTTTAAATAGAATTTTTTTAAATTTTGGGACAATATAATCTGATAAAGAGTACATTTTTATACATGTTTAAGGCAGAATAATTTGACATTTAAATATGACTTCCCTACAACTTTTATCTTCAGGAGTGTCGAATGTGCTTTGCAGATCTAGAGACTGAGATGCTTATTGTTATTTGCAAGAGATCTCAAGCTCACTCAGACAGAATGGAAGGATCTATGAACAAATACTGTCAAGATTTGCCTAAAATCCTTATATATATTTAAGTGTGAGCTTTTACAGGTTCATATCCTCTGATTTAAGCAATTTTATCACAGCAGGTTAGATGAGTTTTCCTGCTTGAAGCTAAACTGCTCCAATCTCAAGCACTCAAAAGCCTCCTTCTCTATTTTAACCAAAGATTCATCTTTCATATTTGTTGTTTTACCAATTGAGGTGAACTAGAATAAGTTTGTTTTCTTCTTTCTACTATCAGAAAAAGCTCTACTTCATGAAATACACAACTAATGCTGCATCTGACTTGTCTTGGATGTCCGAGCTCTGAATGACATCATATTATAGCGAGAGCACTCTGTATTAAAGTTTAAATTAGTTTTAGAAATTCAAGCTGAAAGCGTGTTTCTTTTCATTTTATGCATGACAAAACAATGGAAAAAGTAGTACAATATTTAAATATAATACACTTGAATTAAGAAAATGGAGATGTTCTTTTTTTAAGGGGCAAAATTTGTATTTCCCTTTACTTACAATTCAAATAAAGTGCAAAATCTTGTTGCTTAAAGAAAGTTTTACCTACATTTAGCTCATTTTTTGCAGTGAAATGGTTTGTAATGCTAACTTTAGGTTTACTCCGAACAGAATAAAATAGTATAGAGCCGAATAGAACAGAATAGAATAGAAAATCCCTTTATTGTCCCACAATGGGGAAATTCTGGTGTTTACAGCAGCTAAAAGATAATAGAAATTATGGTCACAAAAATGTGGACCTTAGAAAAATGTATAAGAATAACATAATATGGAAGAGTTAAAAGATAAACAATAAAGTACTCTACTGTAAAGTGTTTTAACAATATAAAACTGTGAGTCTGGAAAAAAGATATTTGAAAATAGCAAGAAAATAACATCAGAGATGTGCGAAATGACAGCAGCATGTAATTTAACTGACTAAGATAGAAACTGTGCAAAATCAGCTTGAATGTAGCAACTTATTTAGGTTGTTGGGAACAGTGTTGCTTATAAAAAATATCGAGTTTAAGCTAGAGCAATATTTATTACAGGAGTTGGGGTTTCCCAGTGAGGTTTAACCTTTCAATTCAGACTTTAGAGAGTCTTTTATGTATTCCCGAATGAGAAAAAATATAATAAATGCAAAGAAACCAAAGCAGTTTCCCGTTGACAGATTAATCTACCTGAGCTGTGGATCCCTGAGGCTCCTCCAGAGTTACCACAAGCTTCTTAGCTGCTTCTTTGATTAACGCCCTCCTTTCTTAGCCTTTAAGTTTAGACTGAACCTAACCCTGACAGATCTGCCAGGTTCCAGTTTATCCATTAATGTTCTTATAAATGGGATAAACTGAAATGCACAGCGTATGTATCACTACGTTTAAAGGTATAAAAACGTTTAATTTCCTTCCACCTGACAAACATGCACTATTTGGAGTTTAAATCAGTGGAAGTCTGTGCAAACCTTCCAGGGGATAGAACACTTTTTCAGAGCACTGTATATTTTCAGCAGCAAACCTCTGTGTAGATAAAAAGTGAAGGCATTGAGAGCAGGTGCACAGGCTGGCTGGTAAAAAAGTACAGGCAGTGTAAAATAAAGTTGACAAAGGGTCTTCAAAAGGCTGAGTGTTTAGAACAGTGAGGTGGAAGTGGAGGAGGAGGAGGTGGTGAAAGCCTCAAAGGACCAAACAACCTTCACAACCTCACTTCTTTCCAAGTCTGGAATGAAAATGAGGTTGCAGTTTGAGGACTGTCAGAGATGAGAAGAGAGCATGAAGAGAAGTAGAAGAAAAACAGATCACAAACGGAGAGAGAAAGAGAGAGGTAGCAGCTGTAACCAAGCAACTACAGCTGAGCACTGCAATACTCACTGAAAAAAAAAAAAAAAAGACTGATAACTGAACTTCTGAGTATTCATACATCGGGCCCTGGGGGAGGATGTGTCACCTGATGTAAGTGCAATCTTAGTAAAGTAACCTGTGCAGGTGAGTGTGTGTTTGTGTGTATACACTCTGGAATATTTCCCCCCTACCCTAAAAAAAGTCAATAGCTAGGACTCGTCAAGGCAGCCACTTAAGCCTGTCAATGACCGTTAAATAAACTGAGACTAAATACACCGACAAGCAGACAGAGAAAGCAAAAGAACAGCCTCCCCAAAGGATTAAAACAAGGCGGGCGACTCTTTCTGATGCTCTCCTCTCACAAACACCTCGACAGCTCAGTTGTGGGGCGGTGCGTACTTCCTAAGGACGGCGATCTCGTTCTCGATGCTCGTCTCTTTCCCCTTGAGCGCCTTCTTGGGGATGCACTTGATCGCCACCATCTTTCCAGTGGCCTTCTCCCGAGCCATCACCACCTCAGAAAACGCACCGCTGCAGGAGACAGACAGAGAGAAGCAAGTCAGTCCTGCCGTATATCAGCACAGACAATATTGACACACGGTCGGTGAGCAGAGAGGGGGCACTCTGAGGCCGACGGGCCAGAGTACACAAACAGCATATTGGGAATATTTACTGAGACCTGGGAAAGTCCATGACTGAGGTCTACTGCCTGCTGCAAAGCCAAACAGACAGCAAACACTTTTAACCCCCCCCCTCCCTAAAAAACATCCACTTAGGAGGGCAGATAGCTCGTCTACCTCCACACACCAGCGTGTTTAAAAACAAAGCAAATACAGAATTAAGGGAATATTTGCTCAAGCAATCTATCAGTTGCTATGATACCACAGAGATAATAAGTCTTGCAAAGCAGGCACTGTGGTTACTTTTGTCCTTCTCGCGACACACGCTCTTTTTCCCCCCACGTATGTTGAGATTGGCTTCGAGTCAGAATCCAGAAAAAGGCCTAAAGAGGCTGCAGCTCTTTGGGTCATGACCACCAGGACTAAAGCTGAGGTGACCCAGAACACAGCAGGTGTGTTCGGTTAACTGTTTGTTTTTTAACTAGAAAATATCAGAAGTTTTTCTTGGAAAAATGGTTTTATATTTGAATTCCAGAAAGTCGGTTTCCCTGGATTATTACCGTAGTAGAATGTAAAAATAAAGTCATCCAAAACGGATCCATTTGAATCAATCTGACTGGATGATCTGGTTCAATTATTTTTCTGAAGTCCCTTGAGATGACATGTGTTAAGTCCTTTAAGCACTTTAAATCCCAAAGAGCTGATTTTAAAGTGATTTAAAACAATTTTGACTTGTTTAAAACATTAAACATAACATTTAAAATGATTTTTTTTTATTTAAGGGGGAAAAAAACCCAAATAGATCCAAAGGACCGATCAAAAAACATTTAATAATGGCAAAGGCAAAATAATTTATGTCCAAGTTTTATAATAGCAGAATCATGACTTTTTAAGTAATTATATTTAGAACAGAATAATAAAAACGTGCTCTAAATACACAAACCCAATGACTAAATATGTAAAACATCATACTGACCAGAATAACTGTGATTATTATAATTTTTTCCCCGTATTCAACCAACATGACACCCCATGACCCCTGTTAGCTGCTAAAAGCTCCTCTAGAGGGAAAGTAAGCATCACAGCAGGACAGCAGATCAACCGAAGGTGGCCTGATACGATGACTCACTCTTTTTCTTTGACATCATGTCTGCATTAAGCTGAGGAGAAATGGCAGCACGGTGCAATGGGAGAAGATGTTGGCTCTACAACTCGTAAAACAAAACCGGAGAAGAATCAACTTTTAATTGCGAGTATTCGAATGAGAAAAGGAAGATTACTTCACTGATTACTAAAGATATGTATTCCATCATTCCATAAAGCAGACCTGAAATAGTTTGTCCACAATACTTTGCCATTACAGGCTTCCAAACTCCTATAAGTTGGCAAAAAAAAAATCAAAACTACTATTAAACTGATTGCTGATCTTCCACAGTTTCCCCATTTGGTTTACAATTCATCAGAACAAGAAAATTAAAAGCATTTTGGAGGGATTTCATGTGATAAACACAAAATGCACCAAATTGTAATTATTAGTAAAATTCTCAGTCATCCAGGTCATAGTCATTGAAAAAAAGTTAAAAAACAATCCACTGGACTTTGTTTCCAAGTTTGAAGGCATTTTGCTTCCCATCCAGGGAAGCTTTTTCAATTCAAAATGTCAGAAATAGCGTTGAGTTCCAAGCTTTATAGAATGCACCAAAAAAAAATTCTTGTTTTGGCTATCATCGCAACCCCCACCCCCTTACAGGGGAACAGAACACCTCGCCCTTTCAGAGACATAGACAGGTATCAGGTATTACAGGCTAACAAACAAAGCAAACGACCAACATTCCTAATGGGCAAAGCCGTTCGTCCGGTTCAATTTGCAAATTTCTAAGCCAAAAACAGGCTTTTTTTTTGGTCCACTCTATAAAGCCTGGAACTCAACGATATTTCTGACATTTTGAATTGAAAAAGCTTCCTGGACGGGAAGAGAAACGTCTTCAAACTTGGAAACAAAGTCCAGGGGATTGTTTTCTTTTTACTTTTTTGGAATATGGTAGAAAAACAACATTCATGGTTTTCGTACCCTTAAAAAAACATGAATTAGTATTCATTCTAGTTATTATTTTGCAGAACTACATTGAACTGCTAGTCTTCACACAGCCTTGGATTCTGAATTGGATTTAGGTCTTGGCTTAGATTGGACCATTCTAAGCCAAGACTGTGCTATGAACTAAAATATTCTACTTCAGGTTCAGTTGTATGTTTTTGTCCTGCAGAAGGAGGCAAACTGCTTTCAGCCTAAACAGTTAAACGTGCTGGGACCAAGAAAGCTATAAGATGTTTTCTTTTTGCAAATTTCTTGAAGCACTCTTTCAAAACTAGCCTGACGTAGTCCTACTCAATTCTAGTCAGAATATGACTTCCCGACCTCAAACGTTGTGGGCGGGACTAAGTTCGGAATGGCACCCAGGCTATTTCAAAACGGCCAGATATGAAGAATGCCGGGGTCGGAATTGTCCCATCGACTGATTCTCTCACCAAACCAGCAGATCTCTTCAGCTTCTCAGCCGTTACATCTTAACTGCTTACACGAATGATACCCTCTTTGTCTGGCCAAGTGGAAGAATTTGTGTTTCTGTTTTCGGATAATAAATTGAACTTTTGTCTGTCTTTGATTGGCAGATCTCAGACTCTGGGAGGTGTAGGGTGCTTGAACATTTCTAAAAAATACCGCTAGCATTTATAAAGAGAGATCACAACTTGATAAATGTCCAGAACCATTTTTAGAGGTGATATAAAGTTTGACAGAGGAGTTCCATATATCAACATGTGGCTTTATTAATGTCACTCTGTTCTGAAGTGCATTAATTATGGTTTCAGTTTGCAGAATTTACCTGTATATATTTTTGAAAGAGCCACTGTTTGATACCAATGTATCAAGTTGGACAAATTTTCATATTCAGAAAAATAAAGCTGAATATCATCAGCGTAGAACTGATGTGACATATCAAAAAGATACAGAATTATCTGGCAAAGGAGGAAAAATACATAAGAAAAGAACAGGTCCGTTCTTTTAAATTAATCGTGATTAATTGATTATTTAAATAATCGTCAACTATTTTAGTATTTGATTAATCATTAACTGGAGTATAGAGACTCTAAAACATGGCCTTAGCTGGCAAAGCAACTCACTTAGAGAAGCAATTACATCAAAATTGTATAAAAGAAATATTTAAACATTTTGCATTTAAGATTAAAAAATATATATTTTTGTCGGGCAATATGTTCAATCCAGAACTGTTACATCTGTTTTCATTTAGTAAAAATCTTCTTTAAATAACCTTTGGGTATCCAATTATAAATATCTTAATCTAAAAAATAATCAACAGATTCATTGTTTCGCAAAATAATTGTTGGTTGCAGCCCTAATAGAAATTAACCGAACTGAATCCCTGTGGAACTCCACATGTCAGATTCTTGAAGTCTGACATGATCAGGATTGCAAAACAGGACATTTTCTACCATAAATATGGGAATTAAAGCACTCTAGAGCCATAAAAGTTAGAATGATTACATCTTGAAGCCCATTATCAAAATATTGTGATCTACAGTGTCTAAGGCAGGTGAAAGGTCAGGCAGAACCGTTACAGTGGATGCACCAGAGTCAGCTTACATCAACATGTCATTAGAAACTTAAAATGAAGCTATTTTTGTGCGGAGTTGCAAACAAAAGCCGATCAATTTTTGCCAAAAATGCTATGTTTTTTTAAATGGC